CTTTCAATTCTAAAAGCCACAAACAATGATTCAAACGAGGTCTTGCAGGTAGGGTAGTTAGGGTAGTGTAGCCTAAGCTTGCACAAAGAGCCTCCGTAAATATGCAAAGAAGTGTTTATGTTGCACAGTGGACGAAATACAAGGATTTGTATGGAAATAAACGGTCGCTCTATCAACCTAAAAATCTGAACTAGTTCTGAATAAAAACAAACTTACCTCGCTTAAAATGGCTATTCCTTTGCATCATGTGAGTTTTCTGGGCTGATTTGGGGCCACTTCGCTCGGTTTTACTTCATCTGCTTTTTCCTCTATGCAAGGATTGGGTTGGGGTTCATACGTAAATGCAAAAGCTTCTTTTGCCGGAATATTCTTGTTACCTCACCTGTAGGCCTACCAAAACTGGGTCGCGAGAAACAGCAAAGAATTGAACCTACCTGGCTTGGATTTCACTTCGGAACAATTGTTTTTCCTCGGATTTGCTCAGGTAAATCAAAAGTGATTATCTGTGTATTACATAAATTGGCCACCGTTATGAGTTTCAAAGGTGGCGTTTATAACGTTAGCCCTTCGTCAGAGCGAATGACGAAAGGCTAACGAAGGGCCAACCTTAGCCAATTTACATTAGCAACTCAGTTGATAATACCAATTTACCTTGTTATACTCTCCCACCGACACAGCACCACAGTTTCTTTAGAAATTTACCCCCTTTTTTAATTAAAGGCTAACTTTCGGTACGTCTTCATATCAGAACTTGTTATTTATGAAGACTTACTTTTAAATTGATTAACGGAGTTGAAGTCTCAATATTGCAGATTTTCGGTCACATCATAACCTCTAGTTATCGAGCTTTGGAAGTAATATTTTCACTGATGTTGAAGTAAACTTGGCAAATTTCGGGCTTGGCCATAAGTGACGATGTCACGGCGGACAAACTTCAAGCACTAACCAAAATGATAATTGTCATAATGACATAACGGTTATAATGAGTTGAACAACTCAAAGTGGAGATTTATGAAAGCCATTTGTATGATTTGTTCAATAAAAGCGATCACCCTATGCTTCATACAGATTCGACTGTATGTCAAAATCTCAGATGTGCTTCACACATATGAATGTTTATATAAACTTTCCCTTTTAAATCTTCATTCCGGCCAGGTATGGTGTTCAGCAACTTCGGACGGGCGTGCCCAGCATGCTTTGCTAACTGATGTACACAGTCCTGAGAAAGTGAGGTGAGTTTAAAAGCAAATGGGTGTCCACGGCAATAAGTGTTTTACCTAAGAGAATTAATGAAATCCCTTAACGAAACAGCAATGCTTGAATTAAGACTTTTATATTGATTATCACTTAATAGGAGCATGATATCAGGGTCTTTTTGATGCTATGGTTTTACATGAGAATCTTCCAGCGAGTAAGAGACGAGATATTAATAACGTGTGATTAAAAGAAAATCAGGTGGAAGGCCTACCACTGGAATGACCCTATTAATCTATTTATGCTTCCATCCCTCTTTGCTTATGTAACAGTGATACATGCAGTTGATTGCAATAAATATTGAGAATAATCTAACCATTGTGACCATACTTTGTAGGGTTCTCGCGGCAGTTTCCAACTCAAAGGAGTTTGCAGAGGCTTTTAATTGTCCCGTCAATAGTTCTATGAATCCGATGAACAAGTGTCATGTCTGGTGATGCTTTGAAATAAATGGCAATCAGTCTATGAAGTCAAAAGCACAACAATGCCCAATTTTCCTGGGAACTTCGATTCGCAGGCGCCGTAAGTCAAGGGTTCGACCAGTTCTTTGTGGAAGGACTTGTGGAAAATTAACAGGTTCTTGGTTCCTACTTTCAAACAAGTGTCGCGCTCATGGCAGTTCCGACCATTTTCCATGAGGCCACCGATTCTCTACATTCTAACCCCTCTTCGGAATCAGAGATGCCATTTCAACACTTGTTTTCAGACCCGGCCACTAGAATCAATCACCGGTTTCAGATCCGTCGAAGTCAAGAAAATTTTGCCTGAAACATATGTCTTGTTAATTTCTCACACTATTGACGGCAGCACATCCCTAGAAAGCTCATGTAGGAAAGAACCCTCCCTCAATGAGAACTACAAGTAAAACAAGCAAATTGCCTAAGGCGCGGGAAACGCCCGCGATCAACTCGTGTTTTTTTTAATTTCGCATCTGATTGGTTCAGAGAGTGGCGCCAGTTTTCTAGACCAATCACAGAACGAAGTAAAGCAAAAACAAAGCAACGTCTGATCACTTTCGATACTCATTTGATAAATTTGCATTTTAGACTACTAATTACAAAGTACACTTTGTGCAACGAGATTGCTATGGAGTCTGAAGTGTGTAGCACATTAAGTTTCCTGTAAAAGTTGATATTGCTCTAAAGTTGACAAATGTACTTTTCCTTGTTGTTTCGATTGCAAAATGTAAGGAAATCCAAATATGACAAACGGGCAATTCATTTAGTAACGACTCTTGAGGTTGTGGTTTTTCAGTTTGCCCGTACGTAATTTATTTTATACTTAACAGAGCCGACAATATTTGCTGTATCACTGTTACAAAACATAGTTTGTAACACTAATCGTAATATAGAGATTTATATCAATACCAAAAAAGATTATCATTTAAATGCGTGCTATAATGTCGAATAAAATTTGCGTTTAATTTTGTATGTTATTTTATATGCTGCATAGAAGTTTGACCGTGGAAATTGGATCCGGCTTTTCTTACCAAATCACTCCTAGTATATTTTATGTAAAATGTAAAATGTTGCAGTGCTGCTGATGGGATAAACTGATAACAAAATAGGATCTAATTAAGGTACTGACAGACTCAAGGTCTTCACTCTAAAGTTAACCCTTTCAAGACATCTCAAAGCTCAAGGCTCCGCGAATGAAGTTCAATAAGTTTTATTTTTGAAGAGTCGTTTATCATCTTTAATGAGAGGACCGAAAACAATCCTATGAATGAAGAGGGGAAAGCAAACATAAGGCAAAGTGATAACCCATATTTGGCGAACGCCTTGTGTAAAAAGTGGATATGAAATATTGGTATTAACTTAGTGCAATAAGAATGTGTCAGTAGGAGGAAAAATCAGGTACGATACATATACGATGCACCCATTTTGTCTCCTAACAGTTTTCTGTACATGAACAAGTTGGCGTATGTAATCGCCAAAAGAAGGCCAAACAAAAACCTGTTCATCAGATGGCTTTCTATAAATGTTTTTATATATTTTTCAAAGAAACTATCAAGTTGAGATAGTGATGGTAGCATTGTAACACTAGAGTGGCAATAACCACATTCTTCAATAAGCGAAACTCACTCTATCTGTTTCTAACCGTGAATCAAATTCTCTTTTGGTATCACATCGAGAAAGAATTTATACGAGAGGAGGATAGATCGCTGAAGATATTTGCATAAGTAAACAATACACACTCCCTATATATTAGTTTGGGCACTGAATCGAAAGATTTAACGATTTACATAGATAAATGTCAGGTATGGAGTTTAACCACAATAAAATTTACAAATGAGTTGGAGACGTTGGTAAGATATAAAAAACGCTTCTCAAATAAGGTTCGTGAGATCAGACTCAAAGAGTAACCAGAAATACTACGCCTTCTTAGCCGCCGGCTACAAAATTCGTTAGAGTTGCGAAAAAACGACGTTAGTGAAAAAATAAAATCGAACTTAGCATTATGACATAATCGAAGAAAGTTTTTGTCCTCTCAAGAGGTTGGTTTCTGTGTAGCAAGATCGACTTCAAAAAAACTCCCGTCTCAGGAGGTTCTGTGGTTCTCACGGTTAGGTTTTTAAGCCTAAAAAAAGCTCCAAATTAAATGGCTGCTAAAGTAAAAGAAAAAGAGAGATGGGCACTGGATGCGATATTTAACCCTCTGCCTTAAGAACATTACAGTGTTAACTTTTAAGATTATCCTGAGTATCACTATGAAAGAACGAGTTCTAGGAGTATTGCCACCTGTATTGCAACTGCTGTCAGTTAATAAAATTCATTTCCCTCGAGTAACAAGAAAAAGGTTCCGTTTTTTAAACGTTTTTATGTTTGTTTTGTCTTTGGGCTGAAAGAATCACCTTGGCTTGGTCATTGCATACGATAATACCGCACGTCATCGAGATTTGATTGATTGGAAGTAAATGACTTTGACTCATTTTTCGAATGGGTTTTGTTTGGTTTATTCTTAATTTCTTTAATATCAGATTTCCTGGTGTCTATTCTCCTAACTTTGGCACATTTTATCACCTCGCAATTGGACTCAATACTTTGGTTCAAGGATCTGCCTTAATTTTATCTTCGATCATGAATAATTCTAAACAGATATCAGGTGTTAGCTTTGCACTGGTTTATTATTTGCCACAGCGAGTTCTTATTTACCGTTTTACTGCTGTTCTGTCATGTTTTATCTTTTTTTTAAGGTTCTGAACAATTATAATCTTATTTTAAACCGACGATACAGTATTCAGGCCTTCGAGAAGGGAAGATTTTCTAGTGCGTATGAATAAAACCGCCAATTTTAATTTGATAGCCTCAGGCAAAATTTGATATGTTTGAATTAAAATTTACGAATTCAGTTCACATTTGCTTTGGTGTGTTTCGTTTTTTTTTCCCTTCGATTCGGCAACGTTGATCTTTACTCCTCTTTCGTTCAACGTTGCGTTGAATTACTCGTAGAAAATCAAAGTAACCACGTTGTTGCCCTCGATTTGATATAATATTCAACTTCTGCCGATATCCACAAACCAATTCCCGAAGGGCTTGTGTAATCAGCACTTAAAATAAAGCTTTTAGAAAACAGATGTTTGCAGCCTTTACCTTAACCAATAGCAAGACACACAAGAATGTAAGCGCTTTCTAATAAATCTTCAAAAGAAGTAAAATTATGGTTGATTCAAAAAATTTTACTTACGTTATGTTATTATTATTTATTGTTACGTTATTATGCCATGGTCTGTATCCATCTAGAAAATGAAGGTCAGATATTTCCCCTCCCGCTGAAAAATTTCGCTCGAATACATTTTCATTTCAGTTCCGGAAGCGTTTCCAAATCGGCTTCACATATTTTATTCACTTATCAATTTTAATTTGACAGTTTTAAATTGCTGTTGGTTCGGAACGTTTCACAGGCCGCAATGTATATACATAATGTGTCAAGGTGTTTTCCTAAGGATTAAAATTTTCCTCGGGAGCTGTCAAAGTCAGTTTTTACCAGACAATCAATAGAGACTAACAAGGAACATAAATTTCTAGCATCGGCGTCTTTTCACTTACTGATGGCTTTCGCTTGCAAATTTATGCCGGTGGTGAGTCAAAACATTCCTTCTATTATTGAAGACTGTACTATTGCAGCGTACAATTCAAGTGAAAACGGTAGCTTTGATTCAGGAGAGTAAGAAAGAACTTCCATAGTGTCGTGCCAAGCCACACAATATGCGAATGATGACATTCACGCTCAGTAAGATGAAATTATGTTGTGACCGATTGGCTGAAATTAAATGTACTGATAGAATTACTTTTCAGTCGGCCAGTTTATATTTCAAATTGTAACTCGACCTTATTTGTTTGTAATTGGGAATTTTTTCCCCTAAAACTGGACTGCAATTCAAAGTCGGACTGTTTATTTCAGTAAGAACTTTATAGGATTTGTGAAGCTAAATAGTTGTTTATTCTATCGGCATTGACAACATCAAGAACAACATCAAATTGGGACCAGCATCTTGTTGAAATATATTTTAAAGCTTTCATAGCTCCGGTTATGTTATATGTATTTACTAGAGAGTACGGAAACTCGGTAATCTATCGATTACCCATAAATTCATAGGCAGAGGGTGTTGTCAAAAAAAATTAAAATGAATTCTTCGGCATATTGACAGGATGAAAGGAGAGTGAAAAAACGAAAAGATGAAATTGCAGTTTTCACATAGGGGTTAAAAATCTATTATGTAATTTCGTACTGTACGCCTAATTGGAAAAATTTCTCGAACTTGGGTGAAGGAAATACGTACATCAAGGTTGTGGAGTACTCTCCAAGATAGCATATGCTTCAGTAAATGAGGCGACGAGGTTTCTCTTGTAGCTTAAGGTCTCATACGGATAAGTGGACCTTTTATTAATGAATAATCACTCTCAGCCGTCAATAAATGCCCTGGGGACGACGCTCAAAAGAGTGCAGTACTGTTGATTACGAGTACGCACAAATTTTTCCTTAGTCCCTTTCTTCAGTTTATGGTTGAGCAGTCGCAGATAAGATTTTTTTATTTAATAAAAACTCCGTATAGACTAAATAGACCCCAAGTTAAGGAGAGTCATGTAAATCCAAAGAATAAGAAGGAATAAAAATATAAACAGATTTCAGCGAATGTTGAAGGGTCAGCAGAGAGAAATTTTATCAAAAAGAAAAACTACAAAGACGTTTCTTAATGGAACATCGACGATGGCAAAGCCTTTATCTCAGGGAAGTTTTATCCAGTTGTAAGAATTACACGAAATTTTTTTCGCTTTGAATGTTTTCATCACTATCAATTCCTGACATCCATACTTAGGTCTTTAGGATACAGTATATTTGTAAAAAAACTCCGTAGTGAAAGAATCGTGACATGATTGATCTTTACCGAAAGAGTTGTGGTAGTGAAGATTATGAGATAACTGAGATACTACGGGAGCCCTAATTGGTCAAAAACCTATGGTCTGTGGCACCTGTAAATCCATAGTTAGTTTAAATAAGCAATTGATAGCACTAAGCACTGGTTTACCAGCATAATAACCCACGCAGGATGTAGAAGAATACGAGAAAAGTTTGTAAATCAGTCGCCTCCGGCTCGTGATTTGCAAACTTTCCGTGTATTTTATCAATATCTCAAGTAAGTTATTACGCCGATAAACCGATAGGAAGTGCGGTCTATTGCCATAATAACCAGCAATTATCTTGTATGATAATGAAATATATGTATTCCTTCCTAGCAGTGCTTTAGTACCAATCGTAGCAGCAGAGAGAAACACGATTCCACGCAATGTTCGGTCAGTGGAGACGGCTTATCCTTAGCAATGGTTGGAGAACCAGCAAAGTTCATTTTACGAACTACGGGTCCGGACCTGCTTTATTTAGAGCTTCAAATTACCCGAATCGTGAATAATGGTAGTGAAACTTCTACTCACTTCTCAGAGCCAATACCTGTCGAATACGAATGTTTAGGAGAAAATATTCACAGCGTGTGCTATTACCCAAAAGAAGTAGGAGAATACCACGTGGCTGTCACATGGAAGGGAAATCACGTGACGGGAAGTCCATTTGCTGTCAAGGTCGATAAAAAAGTGACTTTCCCGGAAAAGGATGACGTAAAAACAGAAGAACAAGATAACAAGGATGAAGTGTGGAAATTGAGAGACGACATCGGGTCGTCAAGACGACAAAGAGATAATAGAGTTTAAGATGTGTGGTACGGGTTTAAATGAACTGGTTTACCGATGTAAGGAAAAACTAATCCTTACTTTAGAACTGGTTTAGAGAACGAAAACAGTAAACATGTCATAGCTTTGAATAATAGGAAAGAAAACGAAAAGAATCAGTATAAAAAGTGTTGTTTTCAGCTGCAGCCAGATTACGGGACCTGACTTGCTTGCTCCGGCTAAGCAGGCAGGTTTATCGTTTGGTTCACAGCAAGATAACTCATGAGAATAAATACAATAAAATAGACTATTAAATCATCGATGTTCATGCAGTGATGAATAAGGTTACTTATCTGGATCTGATCTCCTTATTTTGAGAGACCCCTCGCCTGTTTGTTTTCATATCCGTTTATTTTAGTTAAGAGAACCCGTGAATTTATTTTACTACTTAGAGTTGTACCTTGACGTTGTCATTACATCACGTCATCAAAGTAGTACGTGAGAGTAAAATTTTTTGATCAGTATGAAGCACAGCTTGGTTGCCATATTATCATGTTTTCCGAAAATTGCGCATCTTCGTCGGTTTCAAAATCCTAGCGATTTTTATAACATCGAAGAAAAGAGGGGTGTCACACATTCTTTTGAAGGTAATACTCATTCCTATGAATGTTTACTTGTAGAACAGCTTCAAAAATAAACCCGATTTCAAAGTTCAGCCCTCTCTTGTTTTTTGTTACTTACTGGATGGCAGCTGAAGCAAAGATATTTGGATTCAAAATGAAAAAGTGAAGAGTTTTCAGACGTTCCTTTTACAACAGGCGTGCAGCTGCAAAGCTGGGAAAAGTTTTTATTGGCGGATAAAAAAAAGCACAGCAAAATTGTATTTTTTCTAACTTGAAGTAACATTCTTTTTCACTTAAGGATTAAGGTATTCCCAAGCGATATACAAGTTCGAAGTAATTGAACATTGTCTTCCTATTCAGATTCGAAGAAACGAAATTCTCCGAATCATTGTTGGTTTCTTCAATTAGGAATCGGATTTTCAAGCAAATGCAATGTTTTATCAGTTGTGGGTTAATGATAAAGGTATTTAAACTCTGAATGCTAATCTTAATTGATGTATTTAAACTGAAAGTGGATAGGCCTCAAATCCCAGTTCCCTCTAGTTGAACATGAAGTTTTTACTCATAGTCGCCTCTTTGGTGGGGCTTTTGGGCAGGATCCATGGTAATACTGCAGTACTTTGGGTTCCTGTTCGACTTAGAACATAGTAGCCGTAAAATAATCCCTCAGACGCTGAATGAATATCTTATTTTATTGTTCTTTTCGTATGAGTTTTTAAGAAAACACCTCTCGCCCCAACGATTTAGCATTGTTTTTTTAAAAGGAAATCAGTAACTAACCGTTTCACAGAATTTTTCTGGCAGAGTATATACTGCCAGAGTATTTACAGCATCTTTAACTCCACGCAAACGTCATCTTATTCAAATAAATGTTGTTACCCTTTTTCAGGATTTTACTGTAATTTCGATCGCAGCCAATGTGGGTTTGTGCAACGACGAGATGACAAGTTCGATTGGACCAGGAAAAAGGGTGCGACATCTTCCGGGGGTACAGGTCCTTACTCTGACGCAAAAGGAAGAGGTAGCGCTCTTTAAGGAAGCGTAATATAACGTAAATGCAGACCACCACCGAATTTTGAAGCCGAAAGATTTCGTACCCACATGACAAAAACGATTGTTGTTTGAGATTTATCCTTGAAGATTGATGCGATATCAGCATGTAGAACGTAGAAACTTAAGGTAGACTATTTTTCATTTCTTTTGTGGTGAAAATAAACGAGTGGCCTAAGGTGATCACCAAACAATGGTCACACAAAATAAGCACATTTTGATCTGAAAACAGCGACCTAAAAACCAAAAATGTCCACAAGTCTCCCTTCGCGCGACGTGGTTATCTTGAGGGCGAAGTAGGCCCGCAAAACGTGCGAACGTAAGTAATGGGTCAAATATGTGAGTGTAGCTGTAACAGGTCGCGCTATTTGAAAATGTCGTCATGAAACTCGCAGAACGCACAGAGCTAGTGCGCTTCTGTTTAAACCGCAAACGCACCATACTCTAGTGCAAAAATTATTACGAAGTGTAGATTTTTCATTTTTTTGAGTCAGTGTGATAGCATCACTTTATCATACAATATATAACATCACTTGCAGGTTACTACATGTACATAGAAGCATCGCGAAAAAGAAAAGATGATAACGCCAAGTTAGAGATTCTCCCTGATCTTGTTTCTGGAAAGACCTGCATTTCCTTTTTTTATCACATGCGCGGTGGTCAAATGGGAACACTTCGGGTGCTGGTGGACGGAAATCAAGTTTTCGAGAAAAGTGGACATCAAGGAAACGACTGGCGTAAAGCTGAGTTCACTGTTGAAGGAGGTGCTTCATCAGTAAGGATCTTTGCTTTTGTGACTCAACCTTTAATATGGCTCTAAGTTCTCAGGCTGCTTATTAGTCTTGAAAATGAGATTAAGAGAAAAAGCTCCCCGTACGCTGACTACCACGGCACAGTGACCAGCGAGAAAATAATTTGAACTGATGAAGAGCTCTAGCTCTACTAGCAGCGTTTCAAATAAACTGATTTCATACTCCCCTTTTTCACGCGAAAATCAATAATCAAATGCTAATTTGAAATGTTACCATTTGTACGAAAAGGTTGTGTTTGAAGGAATTGTAGGACGAGGCCACCAGTCTGACGTGGCGATTGATGAAGTGAAGATAGAAAACTGTGGGGAAGGGGGTGGTGGCCAAGGTAAGTTCTTACTAATTTCATCTGTATTTTGTTCCATAGTAATGGTCTTCAGTCCTTTCATATGTATACACTGGTAAAACGAGAAAGATTACAGCTTATTTGAATGAAAGTAAAGCCATCCCCTCAAAATATTTCGGTTCTCCGCACACACGTTCGACAAACCAAGTGGAGGAGAGATGGTAGGATAAAAAGGAATACGGTTGACCTAACTTTGAAATATAACAACAAAATTTATATTCAGAATCATTTTAATTTATGAGTGAGCTGATTATTGAATGTGGTGCATTTTCAATATGTGCGTGGCAAAAAAGGGTTTTTCCTTCAATTTGTGATTTATCTATGGATTATTTTCCAATAAACGTTCACAAAGCCGACAGTTTGTACAAAAGTACCTAACCACTTAATGAAACAATTTATCTATAGCCACAATGAAACCGCCAGCACCTCAACCAGAAACTACTCCGCCGCCTCGTCCACATACAGCGGTTCCACCAACAGGTATCTTCCGTTTTTATTATGAGAGGTAAATTGAGCAACGCTTTTGATAGTAAGGACGTAACAACATGCATTTTAATCCCTCAACACTCAACAAGCTTTTTCCTTCAGGCGAGTGTGGCTTCCGTCCTACCACCAGGATAGTCGGTGGTGAAAATGCACCACCGGGGGCTTGGCCATGGCAGGCGATGCTGAGGTGGTCTCCCACTGGGTATGTGTTTTGCGGTGGTACCTTAGTCGCTCCTCAGTGGGTTGTCACGGCCAGTCACTGTGTCTCGAAGGCAGGCGGAGATCCCGTATATATCAGGTAAAATATGAAATAAGGACAGGTCATGTAACTGGACGTGAGGACAATATTACAGGCGTGGACTGCTCCTTTCAGAATCTTAGTGAACTATAACGTATCCTGCAAAATCCGCAAATTTCATCCTCAATATCTATTTTGTTAGTTTGTTTTTTTAACTCGTGGCTCTCGTACTTCGAGTATCCCTGCATGCGCAGTTAGTCCACGACTTTTATCGTTGACATTTTCCAACGATATCATATGATATCATGATTCACTCCTTTAAAAGCTTTTCGTCTGGCTATCGAAATATTTTACATTATCTACCGCACGTGAGCAAAAAACAGAGGTGTAATTGACTAAGATCTTTCAAATTTTCAGAAAATCAGACCAGGATGCATACAAAACAACATGAAATAAGTTACCTAGACTGACATGATCAGGACTAGCAAAACGAAGCTAAAGCGACCATTGTTTGACTGTTTGAGCTATACAGCCACTTTAAAAAGCTTGCATGAACTGCAAAAGCCGCCTTCCCCTCTCCCTGACTTTCCCTTACGGAGAACAGTAGAGAAGAGAAAGGAAAAACCTTACATATGTTATGTTTTTTTTCTTTACAGGCTTGGTGCTCACAAACAGTCAGAAAGTATGGGAACAGAACAGGACTTCACAGCCAGTAAAATTATTTTACACCCATTGTACCACAAACCAATTGGGATGAGTCATGATATCGCACTTCTCAAGCTGGATAGACCGGCTGCACTCACCAGGTGAGTTCACTCTCTGTGCATTGCAATCCCCCCAAAATATCAGAAATGTTTTTCTCGTCCGGGAGCGTTTATGGACGTGGCATGGTTAATGCTGTTCTCTGATAATATTCCTTTGGTTTTAACGCGGATATTTTTTCATCAATCAAAAGTCTCCGAAACTTTAGTTGGTGATGATTTTATATCCCCATGACCTAAATATTTGAATTCAAGGCACTAGGTTTGAAATCTTAAGTTTTCAGTATATCTTAATCTTAACTTTCTTGGTTCAACTCTTTCACTTTGCTACTCAAGTGGATTTCCTTCCCGATTTCCCTGCGATGAGCTCCTCCGCACTCATCTGTGCTTTGTAATCTTAGTTAACAGCCAATTCATCTGTATTGGCTTCCATTTGTTCGGTGGAGATTTCTTGCGGGTACTGAGTTGTATCATTCAAAAAATAATTCTCTCCGTTAAAAAATTGTTGATGACATGCCATACTCGCTCAGAATGAACAAGCAACTTTTGAATAACCCAGCAAAGTCCGACCATAGGGACAACCAAAAAAAACGAAGAGAACGCTTTTTATCTCCACAGGAGTAAGCAGTAAAGAATATCGTTAATTTGAAATAGATTTTGTTATTTTGTTTTCCTCTTCCTTGTTTTTAGGCAGGTGAACCTGGTATGTCTTCCTCAAAGTATCCCAGCTCCACTTGAAGGAACCAAATGCTGGATCACAGGGTGGGGAAAGACAGCTTCGGTCGGTGGCTCGAGTGGGAAGGTTCTGAAGCAGGCGACTGTGCCGATAGTGGGACGGAACCGCTGTGAGTGGTCTTACTTGGGACAGATTCACGAGTCCATGATTTGTGCCGGGCTGGACCGAGGTGGTGTTGACTCTTGTCAAGGGGATAGTGGAGGACCCATGGTGTGTGAGACCGGCGGAAAGTTTTACCTACAGGGTGTGACTAGTTGGGGAAAAGGATGTGGCAGGCCTAATAAGTATGGTGTCTATGCTAGGGTAAAATACCTTTTGGAATGGCTGAAGAAAGAAATGGCTAGGAATTAAGTTACCAAGTTAAATGAGGTTCCAGCTCTTGAGGAAGCAACTACAGTGAAACTACGAAAATTACGAAAATAAAATTTTAAAAAAGTAAGCCGTGTGACTTGATTTATTTTTGAATCATGTGACGTTTACCACGAAGAGTTACTTAGCTCGACCATCAGATCTAACATGGTTGCATGGCTATCTGACCTTACAATCTTTCCTTCAACCTCTCCTCGGGTTTCGGCTAATGGAGACTCTTTACTTCGATTCATTTCCTTCTGGATGCCTTTTTCACTTTCGTATAAATTTAAATATCTCCAAGTTAAGTCAAAACCTGACGGCCTTCACTGGAGCAATATTTCCTCCGATCTGAGTTTTGACCAAATATTTTGCTCTTCAAAAATACTTCGGCGGACAAACAATACTTAAGAACATCACGCAAACATGACAGTAACGCTGAGGATTATGTCTCAAGAATTTTCCAAGTGCAAGGGTCGATCTCTTTACCATCTTTGATGGCACCAGGCCTCATCTTCACCGCAACATGATGACAGTGAAGATGAGGCCTGGTGCCGTGAAAGTGATGGCAGCGATAAAAGTATACAAAAAAATAATTTATTCGAGTAGCATTAGGTTAATATTTATTCGCATCTTCTTCAGTTACTACATCCTTTGGGTTTTTAGTATCATGTTATTGGCTTACACTTGCAATCAAACTATCAATTGTCAAATTTTTTCTTTGTTCAGCTCATTTTCTTTTTTCAATTGTGCCGCATTTTCTCTTTGAGCCAAGGCAGGAGGTACTTGACTTTAGCGTAAACACCAAACTTTCCCGCAGCAGCGCAGCCATATCCCCAACTGGTCGCACCCTGCAAGTAAAATCGGCCGCCACTCTCGCATACCATCGGTCCACCGCTATCCCCCTGACAGGAATCAATGCCTCCTTCATCCACCCCTGCGCAGATCATTGAATCATGGATTTTATCTGGATATGCCTTCTCGCAGCGAGCGGGGCCAACAATTGGAACAGAGACCTGCTGAAGGTCATCCGGTGTGGCACCCCCAGAGGACAGTCTACCCCAGCCTGTGATCCAACAGCGTTTCCCTTCAACGGGCGCTTCGATAGTTTCTGGAAGACATGCGGTATTCACGTAACTGCAAAAAAGGTGGAAAATTTATCATTAACTTTTAAGTAAACTATTTACAGTTATTTATGGAGGAGGGAAGGAAAAGTGATTATAACTTTTACGAATTTTTTCAAAGTTAAATCAAGTTTAGCAAATACTCACCACTCAGTTTAACAAGTAACAGATTTTTCACGTAAATTAATTCACAAAGAAATGAGCTTTCATAAGATGATCGCTGATTGTAATTTTAAAAAAATGTGAGTAATTCATAGCTGTTAGTTGAGGAATGTTCGAAATTTTCCAGATTGATGTGATTACGGATATATTCTATTATACGACGCATTTCTAAGAAATTACAGAGTACGTTGATACAAACCTGTTTAGCCGAGCCGGTTTGTCTAATTTTAAGAGTGCGATGTCATGGCTGTAACTTTTTGGTTTGTGGTAGAGTGGGTGTGTAATAACCTTCGTGACCCTAAAATCCTGTTCAGTGTCAACCTCTGATACACGACTATGGGCGCCAAGACTACAAAATAAACAAACAAACAGACAACCATAAACAATGTTTTAAGTATGAAACATATTATTACCGACATTACCGCTTATTCCAAGGACGACAAGAGAAAAATGTAATGAACACGCAAACTTCTTGGACTGATCGTTAATATCATTTTGTGGTGTTTTACTACAAGTGAAAAGGAAACGTAAACAAAGAAATGGCCAGTTAGAGTTCAAAAGTCTTTGATACTAGGAACATGAAGTTTTGAACTCTTTTAAACAGTGTACTAGCTTGTCTCCGAAACGTTTCGCAAATTGATTGACAGTTCAGTTAAAAGCATTCCCAATGAGTAACCAACAGCTCACATGTTGAAAAGCGCGATAAAGTGAATTAACTTATATATCTGTTACCGGACAAAAACTTCACTGGGTGACTTTCCATTGACACAGTGGGTTGCAGTTACGATCCAAAATGGAGTTACTAAAGTTCCTCCACAGTAGGGATAACCAGAGCTGCTTCGTAGCATCGCCTGCCAAGGCCAGTCTCCACGCTTGGCAGTCGAGCCTCCGACGATCCTAACAGACGAACGTGTTCCACAACCTCCTAAAATTATAGCACAGAACATCCCTGTGATTCATATGCCAATTTTTCCCAACAGATGATAAATCGTACGTAAATATGATATCAGTTCAAAGCAATATCCGTGAGTATATTTTCTTATTTGCACCACCGCGCATTTTTAATGATTATTATATGATATTTTCACTGACCTTTGGAGGGAGATACCGGCGGGCTCGGTTTTCGTGGGGGTGGGGGTGTCTCTCCACCTTAAACAAAGAGGACGAATTAATGGCCGTTAAGATGTGCTCCTGTTTGGTAAAAACTGTCTTGAACTCAAAGACTGTAGTGCTTTGACATAAGAAACTTAGCTAGAGACAGAAAAAACCCGTGCGTCAACTAAATTTTATCAAACCGTAGTTGATTCTTTCAAACCGATTTAGACTGACGTCCAGTACCGCTTACAAATACAAAAATGCAGAACAAATAAAGCTCCTGCGAGATAAATTCATCCATAACAAGATTAACTCAATACCTTCTCCCCCACAACCAAGTATTTCAATATTATCAATAGCAATATCGCCCTGCCAGCTTCTTCCACGGATTCCTTGAAAGATAACCTGCAATATAAATATAAAGGAAATATTCAGTAATATTTTAATTTAGTTCATTTATTTTTCAGTTCTTGCATATTACTATAAAGTTATTGATATTAGATGTATTATTTAGTATTTAATAATTGTTAAATGGTATTTAATTGTGATGTATCGCAGGCTCACTCACTATTCGAGCTGTTTCTTTCACTTTGATCTGCGCCTTTTTCCAGTCTACACCCTGCTGACCATTTTTCTTGAAAATTATTTTCCCGTTCACTTTTACGTTCAGTTCTCCGATGCCTTTTCCTGTCATATGATAGTAAAACGAGATGCACGATTCTCTGTTCCCCAGATTGGGTCTATACACTAATTTGGCATCGTCTCCCTGTTTGCGAGGGCTGGATGTCTCTATGTATGCATAGTATCCTTGAAAAAAAACAACAACAACAACAAAGTACACCTTTGATTTCAACCATGGGTATGAAAATGACCTTAATTTGCATGTGAGTGGAGACTTCTAATCATATCGTAAGGGTGAAAGGATGAGCATCAGAACTCGCTTTGAAAAATCGTAATTCAAAACTGAGCTATTGAATACACTTAGAAATTTTACAGCGGATAGAAAGAAGAAAACATGTTTGTTGTAGTTGTCAAGTACATATATTATCAGCAAATTTTTAAACAAGAAGCTTGCACTGAAAAAGGCACGTTGATCGCTTTCATACCAAGAAATTTATCAAAATTATTCATCCTCACTTGAGGGGGTAGCTGATTATAGTCAACGACTTTCACATGTCTATTCGATAGTTGTCCAGTTTTCGAATTTTGACTCGTTCTTCTTTCAATTGTTCGTATAGGTAAGTTACATCCAGAACCAAGGTTTTAATGGCGTTGATAGGGTGCGAAGGGAATAAAATTCGGTTAGTAACTATTTGGGGCTTGAAATTAAAACAACCGCAAATCGAGTGTCCACTTGGTCAATCACGAGTAAAATTACAGACAAACTTCGACATCATAAAAGAACTGTCACTAGTTTACGAAAACAATGAAAAAAGTTTGAGACACGAAGCACTTTCCACATTTTCTCAATAGTTTTTAAATCTAGCTGCTGAACACAAATTACGTACGAGTATTCTTTTTTTTAGTTCGATCTGCTTTTGACCAGTTTTATTTTCCATACCTTTTCCCCCGTATCCAATCGATGGCCCTGTTCCACCTGACGATGTTGGAGTCCTCCGACGGTCCCAATCAAATTTGTCATGTGGCTGTTTCTCTTGAATGCCACCACAGAAATCTTTTTCAAAATTGCAGACGAGGCCTTGAGAAAAAAAAATTGCTTACTTACTTATTTATTTTAAAAAAATCTATTATACAGTTTCTAATAAAATGTTTTGGACTATTTAGCAAGCTTCAGGTCAATCAATCAAAGAAGCGTTGTATATAACCGGTAAGCGATGTAAAAACGATCATTCATTAAGTTTTAATGATCGATGTTGGAATTGGATAGATCTCTAATTTTTGGTTACTCATCTGTCTTTTAGGTACTCCTTTTGCTTACGAACCCAGCTTCATTATTAATCTCTAAAGAAATATCGACTAAGAAATACTTTGAAGAAATACTACTCTGAAGAAAGAATCGAAATTATAAAGATTTTTTTCCAGCCTTACCAGCTCCGAAAGCCACGTTCACCAGTAACACAGAAAACACCAACATATTGGCAGCCAGCTCAGTGAACTGTGAACAATAAACACAATTTTAATGAGTTTTATAGAGTTGTTACTGTATTATAAGCTGACACTGAGGTCAATACGCAAATTTGTTTTGCCAAAATGAAACATGCTACGACTCCTACAAACAAACGCGTCAGGCACTTAGCACGGTACAAAAACCCAAAAATAAATGGCAAAGGAACCTCTTATATGGCTTCCTAACCAATTTTAATTGTTGACTTAATTTCATGTAAAACTTTTCAGAGGTATTTGAGGCAAGAAGTACTCTTTATCGTTGCTGAACAAGATAAAGAAATTTCATTAATTCATGTAAACAGAGTTTACTTAATCGTTAATTGACAATAATGGCAAAACAAAGGAACACCTGAACAGGTTTTACATCTAGTTTTAGTGAAACAAAAGAGTATATTTGCTACTTCTTTTGTAAATGACGAGTTCTTCAAGACACGGACTTGGTCGTTCAGGTTTTTAACTTTGTCAACACCGCGGTATCTTTCAGCCAAGATTCTGATGATTTAATGAGAAACTAAATAATAAGCAATTTTGACACCTCAGGTAAACGATGAGGACAAACTACTGGTCATTTACTGAAAAAAAACACTTAAATCTCCCTGATGTAAGAGGCAAACTATATGAATATGCGTAGTTTGGCTGATCATTCTTTTTACAATACCTCAGAGACACTTAG